TTAGTGTTTTCTTTTCCTCCGCTTTTGAAGTTGATTCTTGACCTGTGACTGTGAGTTTTTAATTTTCTGATGATTTTTATTGATTTTCTTTTCGTAATTTGTTTATTCTTTTGAATGTATCTTGTTTTTCCTGGACCTCTATACAAAACCATCGGGGTACTGAGGGAGATATTCTAAGCTTTTGCTTCTCCCTCAAATAGAAATGGTTTTGTTTTTAATGGCTACCGGGGCCGGTACCCCCTGAAGACGTCGGCTTCGGTGGTCGTATTTTTGTTTTATTTCATTTGTTTTGTATTATTGGTTTTAGGTCATCTTTATTTTTACGTAAAATTTTTTTTTCCTTCCACTTGTTGTTTGATCATATTATTTTTCTTTCTAGTGAAGCCACTGTTGTTTCAATTGATTTACATCCTGCCACTGCTGATAACCTTCAAGAACAGTATGTGAAGTTAACATTAAAGTTAACTGTTCAAGATGGGGTAGGTGTTGTATTTCACAATATTATCTTTCAATTGTGTATGTGTCAAAATTATAAGTTCCCAATTATAATCAATTTTTAAAATAATGATTCAGATAAAGCAATTACGAATTTCTGAAAATAAACATAATAGTTTTTGAAATGTATTCTAATTTTATACACTTATTTCTTGTTAAACACTTACTTGTTAAACACTTATAGTGTTTAACTATTAAAGTACAATGTTTTATAGAAATAAACATTTGTGTGTAACATGTTTATATACATTACAAAACATAAACATTCTTTCTTTAATTCTAATTTAACAAATTTGTATTTTTCAATGATTGAAAATTAATATTCTCCTTTTTTGTTCATCTGCTGTTATTTTAACTAAACCTACCACTATTTAATGGATCTTTTTAACACAAACCTTGATTGACACTTTGAAAGCTTGATGTATTTGAGGTTTTTTTAACACAAACCTTGAAATGAGAATTATTGATTTTTATAACATTTTGTGTTATGTGGATAATTTCACATTTTAGTTTGCCAATATGCATTTTATTTACCTACCAACTATGGCAGCAATATTAATATGAAACTTAACATTCATAAAATGCTTTAAAGTAATTTTATATACAGATGCTTAAATGTGCAAAATTATGCATTTAAGTATTTAAAGAAAAAAAAAACTGAACTTTTCCAGGTTAATTAACTATTATTAACTGTTAATTAACTTATTCATGTGTCAGATAACTGCTGTTTTGTAATAGTAACATTAAGGAATTATGTTTACTTAACATATAATAAAAATGAAAATGTCTTGTCAATTATTAAATATAAAAGATTTCTAAAATGGTAATTTTATTTCTTGTTAAAAATTTAATTATCTATCCTGTTAAAAAATTAACTCTGTTTATTTTAGTATCCTGATGTCATTCCAGATATTGATATTCGCAATCCTAGAGGATTATCTGATGAAATATTATCTAGGTCAGTGCTGATATAAAAATTATATCATATCTGGTTTTAATTATTCTTTAAGTATAGTTTTTTAAACTTTTGATTCTTCTAAGTACATTGTCTGGGCTTCCAAATTGTTCTCTTTTTCCTTTCATAACTTGAAGCTCGTTTTAGTCCTCTGTTGAATGATTTGAAAATCAGTTTAAAAAAGTTTCTTGAATACGCAAATGCACTGTAACTTTGTACATAAAGGTCAGATATGCCACTTTTCTTTAGATTAGCAGGATTTCAATTCCACCCTCCTGATTTCCATCTGAAGATTCAATTAACAATTCTTTATTTGAGAATGACAAGTTGAACTGTGGAAACATTCTGCAAAGTGAACAATAGTGTTTAAAATATTTTATCTGATTTATAGTATCTGAAATAATAATAATTATAAATATATGTATATATATTTATCAGTCGCAAAATTTTATAACTGTGAATTGGGGATTATATATTCCCTATTATGTTGTGCTCGAGAGAGATTACCTGTTTCAAAGATTGAACTTTTTCTCTTTAAATTATTTTAAAATGAATTTAGAACATTAAAAAGAATTTAGTTTACATTTAATAATTTGTTTCCAAATGTTATAAAAATTATTTTTTAAAATACTTTTCAGACATATATTGGAATTACTATTATGAAATCTTATGTTAATAAATCTTTAGTCTTGTTTTCAAATTGAGAAAATATTTTCTAATTAGTGTTCTAGCTAAAAATTTTCTAGTTTAACAATTTTTAAATTTTCATGATGATTTTATTCTTATTTCTTATGTTTATAGTTGTATCCAATTAAAAATTCAATAACAAATGAAAACTAATTGAGAATATACACTAATTTACATGTGTTATTTAATTTTATTTAGGTGTTCATTATCTGCCTAATTCACAACACATCTTTATTGATTTGGTATAATCAATAATGAATCTTATAAAAAAAAATGAAGACAGCTTTTAATGGGTACTTTTTAGCTGCAAAAATTTCAAAGGTGTGATAAGTAGTATCAAAGAATTCTAAACTTAAAATTATGGATATTCTTGAGAAAGAAATTATTCTGATAATTTTTTTATTAAAAAGACAAAAGGGCGCAAAAGTTGATCTTCTTTTTTCTTGCGCACTTTTAAAACAACTTGATAATTTTTGAAATGGTCTTAATTTTGTTAAAGTCTACTATGGTATTATTGATTACTTTTAGTATATTTCATTTTAAGTTTCATGTTTTAGAGACAGGAAAATGAATGATTTTATAACTTTTAATGTTATTTATTTTGTAAGCATTGTAGATCACAAAATATCTAAAACCGATCGTGATCAAAAGTTTGAGTAATTAATAAGTTAAGGGAGGGATTTGTTAAATGAGTGTTTTTAATTCATAGAAAGGTGCTTCGTTTGATTTATTGGTGTTTGATTAAAATATGGTGTTTGCATTTTTACTATATATAACCATTAAATCTAATTACTAATTGTCGTGTCTTAAACTAAAATTTTTAGACCACTTGGTTACTTGCTTTTTACTCTTTCAAAGTATTCCATAAATTCTCTCTTTGAGGATATTTTTGAACATTTTATTAAGCATTCATTATATGCTAGCAACTTTGATATAGAATAATTGACATAGTTACTTAAAGTAAATAATATCTTTTACAATATTATGTAATCTTTATCTGCTTTAAAGCAGATAAAGATTACATAATATTGAAAAACTTGCTACTTGATAGAAGTTTGCATCACATCTTGCTTTTAATGGAATATTACGAACAGTTTGTATTTACAGGGTATCTGCGTACCTGAAAAGTCATGAATTTCGATATTGAACATAATTTGTCATGAAATGTCATGATTTGAGTTTTTTTTATTTTTAAAATCATGGAAAGTCATGGATTTAGGTCACCAAAGAATTTTATTTTTAAAATGGAATCCTCTCCCCCCCCCCAATTTCATGGTGTTCCGAATATCTGAATTTGTAACAAAATTCCCACTCACAGTCATATTTGATTAAAATATAAAATATTTTTATCATGTTCTTTAAAAATTATGGTGTTCTTTCATAAAATGAAAGAAAAAACATTTCTAGAGTGAAGTATCTTTTAAACTTCTGTGATTTCAGAATTATTATTATTATTTTATCAATTCTAGCTGAAGCAATCAGAAAAATCAGCAGTCTTTCTTTTCTTTCTGATGAACAAGAAAAGTATCTTTAGAATATAATTTTGTAGAAAAAAAAGAAAAAAAAAATTAGTTGCTCAGCTATTTTTATTACTTCAGCTCTTTCTTTACTCTGTTTTTTTAAATTCAAAATCAATAAATATGAAGATGCAGAGTATAACAGTTTTAGTTATACATATCATTTCAATTAATGTTATAATGCTTTTGAAATGTACTGTTGTGTTTTTGTCGGAGAAAATAGTAACTTCGTTGAGTCAAGAAAAGTTCTTGGAATGAGTCATATAAAGTCATGAATTTGAAAATCTAAAATGTAGCAGATACCTTGTATTCATTACATTTTGTTTTGCAATAATAATTCAAATTATAATTTAATAATTCATGTTGAAATGATGCAAAATTACAAATATTGTAAGTATTTTCAAAATTACTGTTTTATTATTCAAATTTATAGCTTAAAATGTTCATCACAGTAATTCAAACGTCATGTTTATTATATTTGATAATTTTAAATGCTATAAAGATGTCTGATTTTTGTAAAGAAGGAGAAAAATTTCACTTATGAATTAATTCTCTGTGTTTTTATTTTATTTTTAGAATTACAAATGACTTGTTGAAAATAGCGGAGGATAAGAGAGGGAACTCGATGCTGTTTGAAATTATTGAGGTATTCTCTTTTCTTTGAAAAAGCATTAAAAAAAACCTATTATTTTCTCTTGATTATAAAATTATTGTTATTAAAACATTGTTCTTGGTATTGCGACTCCAGCAAGAATTTCACAACTAAAAATTGAGTGCATTTGATGTCGATATTTGATATCTGTGAATTTAAAAGGAATTTAAAGTGTGTTACTCATAAATTAATGTAGGTTCGTACTATTTTTTTTGACCTATTTGATTTCTCATTGCGTATGAATTTTATTTTTTGATGTACTATTATAAAATAAGATTTTGGGTGCTGTGACGTTATTCTAGCTGGAGTCAAAATGTGTAGTTGAGTTTCTCATTCCTTTGGAGAGAGAAAAAAAAAAGAAATCTTTAAATATAATTAAACTTTAGGTAACCATTTTTTTTAAAAATTGTTAAATGCAATGATTTGAACTAAATAAAAGTATTCATTTTCATATTCTGCAAAATGTAAAATTGATAACCTTTCTTATCAAAAATGTATATTTTAATTTGTTTTTTACCCATTGGGAAAAAAGGGGTGTATCTCTAAGACTTTCATGTTTGCATGCTTTTCGACTTCAATACTATGTTTGGAAGAGACCTCTCAATCAAAGGCAACTGTTGATGGGGTAGAGACAAGAAAAAATGAATAAATCTAAAGATATTTTTAATCTTTATTTAATTTTCACAAATAAACTGATGATGATGATTTATTACTCTAACTCAGAAATATGATTCAATGATTGTGAAATACAAGGGCCCTATCGAAATTACCGATATGAAGTTTGTAGTATTTTGCATTTTCTGTTCATTTTTTCTGTTAAAATTATACCAACACAATTCTGTTATCGGCAGTTTTAAACAGGGTTGTTTACCCATTTACCTGCACAAATAACCCGGGTTGGTTTTTTCTTTTTAAAGAAAAACCATTTAAAAAGAACCATAAAATTTTAATATATATAAATATATATTTTAATATATTAAATTTAAATGTTTTTTTCCCTCAAAAATAATTAGAAAAGGAGTTGGTTTTCCAACATTTTTGTCTCCTTTTATTACTATAGCTATTATAATTTCACACAATTTTGATTTTCTTCTTCAAATTCTGCCATTTCCAAGCTAATAATTTCGAGTACTTTTATAAAAATTGTGGACCAAAAAATATTTAATGTATTTTTGAAATCTTCGCCATGTGAGAAAGTATTAAATTTTAAAGAATGACAAATATTTTAGCATAACTGAAGTGAAATACATTTCATTCTTTGCATCTTACCAGGATTTTTTAATCTCAATGATATCACTTTTTATGAGACAATTATGTAATTTACCTGAAATGGCAAATGTCAAAGACTTATGAAATATTTTCCTATCTAATTACTATATCAGTTGAAGAGTCTTATGGCGTTATTATAAAAAATAAACCAAATTTTTTATTAGTATTGTTTTCTAATGGATACTTTACAAATTACCTGAATTTCTACTATATGACAAAACATTGCATTTAATCCTTTTATTGCCCATGTAGGCAAGTGGTGTTTTTTTTTTGATCTATCACACTCTCTAAAGGCATGGAAATTGGGAAATTGCAGTTTATCATTATATTGCCTTCAGCCCTTTTATTCAATTCCTACTATTAGTTCCTATATATATATATATATTATATATCTCCCTATATATATATATTCCTATATATATATATATATATTCCTATATATATATTCCTCCCTATATATATATATTTATATATCTTGTTCAAATTTACAATTGTTAATAAAACACTTTTTATTCATTCAGTCAAGTTCAAACTAGTAGTGGATGACACTTGATATTAATACACTTTTTTCAAATTTTAATTAATTAATTAAATTTAATTAATTAATTTTAGTTTTATATGGGAGAAAGAAATTTCTCTTATATAACACCATATATAGAAATGAAAATTGCAATTAAATTCACTTTCTATTTTGTCACTTAATATTGTGATTCTGTCATTTGTTTATGCATATTTATATTAATTATAAATATTTAATAAAAAGTAACTAAAATAAAATTATTCTTAGTTCACCTCAGTAGGAATCAACTTTAATTTTTTTAAAAATTTTTTTATGCTTGTTAATAATTATAAACAAGATACTTTTTGATTTTAGAACTATTTCTGATTTCAATTTTGGAATTTATTTGTTGTTTTATGTTTTGTTGCTTTCTTCTCAAATAGCTCCAGATGATAGTTGATCACAATAATTTTTGTGCTTCACTATTTACAGGCTGCCAAAGATTACATAACAGCTGGCAATAGACCTTGCGAAGAATGCGCAATTTGTCTTTATGGATTTCATAATGATGACATCTTTACTAAAACAGAATGTTACCACTATTTCCACTCTCATTGTCTAGCTCGTTATGCAAAGAACTCCTCTAGGAGTGAAGATGATTCAAAATCTGATGATTCATCAAAGAATGAGGTAGGCATTACTTAAGTATAATTATTAAGAATATATTATGTTATATAAAATATATAACACATAGCTGCCAACTCTACTGGATATTGCTAGTTTCTCCTGGTCTTCTGGTTAAATTAAAATTCTCCTGGTTTTTGAACATTTTAGAAAATTCCCTAAAATTGAGTAAGTTTCCCAAAAAAATCCCTATTGAAATAATTTTTTTTTTACAGATTATTGCTTGAATATTTAACTTATTACTAGTACATAATGATGTAAACCTCATTATAGAATTCAGTTCAAAACTTTTTTTGTTCTAAAATGTTCGATTTATTTTAATTTGGAGATCTCTTTTTAAATTTATAACAAAAAATCTTTTAATTGTTTTTGATAAATTAAATGCCTATTAATATTTGAATTTATGAGTAAACATAACTGGAAAATATTGCAGTTTTTCTATGTGTAAAGTATTTAGTACATTATGCAACAATTATCATGAAATTTATATTATTTCGTAAAATTTACTGAATCACACTTGCCAACTCTCCTGCTTTTGCCTCAAATCTTCGCCCTCAGGCCTTCAGGGTGTTTTCTCCTACTTTTTTCTATTTAGTGCAAGATAGAGGAAAAAAACAGCAATTTGTGCAATTTCCTTCCTAACTTGTGCTTCAGATCATGCTGGGCATTTATTTAGAAAAATTTTGCCCCATAGCAACATCACTAAAAATTATGGTGAGTGTGAACCAAAACAGCAATAACCAATGAAATGGCAAAATCAGAGATATCTTGGACACCATTAGGCAAAATGTTTTTTCACTTTCTATAGATGCCAGTTTTTTTTTTAAATAATGCTAAATCAGCAACATCTGCAGTTTTAAAACAGTAGCAGTTAAAAAAAAATTAAGAAATACATTTATAAAGTATTGTATTCATTATTGACATATTTTGTTAGTTTTGAACTTCTTCCTAAATTTGAAAAAATCAAAAGATATGTTTTAATATAATTCTATAGAACCTTATATTTTATAGTAAGAGCACGTATCTTTATTAGTCAGTGTCAGAATCTTACTGTGGTCTATTTTATGTAATGTAAATAATATATTTTGAAATAAACTTCTTGTAGGAAGTGTGAATTAGGTTTAATTTTCAATATTGCGCTATGTCGTGATACAAAAAGAGTCTCCTGCTTTTTTATTTTCTAAGGTTGGCAGGTCTGCTGAATTTTTTCCTATCTATGCTGGCAGCTATGTATAACAGGGTGCGTAGCGTTTTTAAAAAGTGCTTAAAGGTGCTTATTTTCGATTTTCGTTTTTTAAAGGTGCTTATTTTCGATTTTCGTTTTTTAAAGGTGCTTTTTTCATTGGGTGTTTTTAAAAAGTGCTAAATTTTCAGTTTTTCAAACTAGGTTGATTTTCGCTTCAAGTTATGCAAAAAGACAGAGTTCTCATTGTTCTATTCAACGTTTTCACAATTAATTCAACACCAATCTATTTCGGCGTATTGTCAGTCCGTAGCGTATGAGAACGCCCTTCGTTTTACACCATTCAAAATTTCGTGATTTTTGACAATCGTCAAAAACAATACCAAAAGTTTATTTTTTTTACATGGCTGTTAATATAAGATAAAACCGTCAATTGTCAAAAACTTTCCAGCCCTGCCTGACTAATGATATTTTTTTAAAGTGCCTAAAAATATTTTTGAGTGCTTGAAAAGTTCATGAAAAGTGCTTATTTTTTGGTAAATAATTTGGCTACCTGTATAACAACATTATATGTTTTATAAAATAAAAATAATAAATTTTAGCCGAGAGAATAATAGTTTAGATAACTTGCTAGCAAAAGTAAAAGAAGATTATCTCAATTTTGCGACCCAAAATTGAGATAATCTAGTGAGCTGTAAAAAAAGTAAAGTAACTGAAATTTCCTATTTCATGGATGTATGTGACTCAGATTATAAAAAGTAAACTATTCCTGCAACAGAGGATCGTGGAGGTTAAGGCTGCACAATTTCAAGGCCAATAGCATGATTGTGGCGATGTGATCAGCATTGTGCACACATTGTCATTACTTCCTTGAAATTATAATATGCATTAGTTATAACGGTTCTTGAGATACATTATTTATAAAGATTGTTCTAACAATCTTGGAAGTTTATCTTCTTATTCCTTTCACTTTAAAAGTTACAAGTGTTTTATGCATTTTGTGCAGTCTGTGAGATTCGTGTTTCTGAATTCGTGTTTCTGAATTTTGAGTAACGAAAGCATCTTACCATTGTTATCTAAAATGATGCTATTTTTATTTTCTCAGAATTGCTATTTTTCTTCTTAATGATCTTTTTTTTTTAAAAAAAAAAAATTATTTTATTATATAAGTAGTTAAAACAAAAACTGATGTAACTAGTTACTAAATAAGATTTTATGCTGTTTGTTCCAACTATCTTCCTTAATAAATGAGCACATGAGCTTTTTTATATATTTTTTTTAAAGAATGGTTAATTATTTATTCAGGACCTAATATCTTTTTTATTATTCAAGTATTATTTCTTGTTAGAATTTTTTATAATTCAAAACTGTTTCGAATTTTAAAAAAATGAGCTAGGATAAAAATTGATTATAAAAATTTCCTTAAGTTACATGTACACATTGTGCATTATGAATTATCTTTTATTACAAATTATATTCTTTAAGAATTTAATTACAAATGTTAGTGCCATAAGCAAAAGCACAAACATTTGTAGTTCTATTTTTGACTTTTCAATTCAAATTTCTTAATCACTAGTGGCACACAAGCAGTGCAATTAATATTACACACAGATTAAATATCCTATTGTAGTGTATTTTTGTGTTCTTTTTTAATTTATTGATTATAGAAATTTCCTTTATTTACCTGTACGCACTATGCAATATGAATTATGATGCATATAATTGATGCATGTAGTGTAATATATGTCGCATGCTAACATGCTTTGTAGCATATTTCATAATATCCTGCAAAGTTAGCTGGAATTTTTAATATCTCATTTTTGACTTTGATGTTATGTTGCATTATGTTTCATCCTAGCACTTTTATTTCTTTTAAAAATTATACTAATTTTGTATTAATTGATTACAGTTGCTGTGTCCTGTATGTCGTCTTCCAATTCATTTCGACGGAGTTGACGATTCATATCCCTCCCCTGTAAAATGTGAAGATGAGTTTTCTGTTACTGATACTATTTTGCAAACACAAAAGAAGCTACAAGAGCTTTATATAAAACAAGTAGAAAAAGGTGGGATTATAGATCTTGAAGCTGAAAAAAATAAATACCTTATTGAAATATCTCATGTAAGTTAAACTTATTTTATGTTCATGTTTTACTTTTATTAGTTTCAATTAATATCAGTAATTTGATTTGATAATGTCTGTAATTTGATTGTTTGATAGGCAGTATGCAATACTGTATTAGAAACTTTCTAAGTTTCAGTTTAAAAAAAAGAAGAACCTGAATTTATTGAAGGTTGTTTTATATAGTTGAACCTCGTTAAGACAAAAAAGTAATTTTCTCTATCACCTTATCTTAAACTATAATAATTGCCTTCTTTAATCCAAACGTAAAAACAAACTCACCTGCTTAAAAAAGTTAATATTCACATCAGAGAACGAATTTCTCATGACCTTCACAGTGACCTTCATTGAAGCAAGTTTGTTTTTCTGAACTAGACAAGCGATGTAACTGTATTTTTTCTTGGAACAAAGGGAGGTTGCTGTTAGTTCACATTAATCTGTGTTTTCTGACATCATCAGCTAAAGATGTGAGGGGGGTGGGCTTCTAAAATTAGGGTGTGTGGCTGTGTATTTGAGAAGTGATTATAAATGTAAATTTTGTTTTAAAAAATACTGATCAACTTGAATATATATATATGCATTGTATACATATGTATTGTATATTTTTGAGCCTATTCTACAATTCAGTAAATCATAATAATCAGAACTTGTATTGTATAAGAATGAGTGATATTTTGAGATTGTGGCAAATTTTCAGTGAGCGGAATTCACACTTTTGTTTATACCATGTCTCAGATCTGTAGAATAAGTTAGATTTAACATTGAAAATTCTAATTTTTGTTGAAGTTATATTTTTGATTTTCCAGAATTTATTGTGAATAATGTAACTGCTTTGGACTTTGTTGAATTTATTTAGTATATCTTCATCAGTTCTGCCTTTATTGTTAATTATACTATTAAGATAGTTAAAACTGTTTGCCTCTTCTAGTTTATTAACATTATGTGCTAATTGCATAATTTATTTAATTAAAATTTATTATATTTGTTTGTATGACTTGGTTATAAAATCTTAAATTATTATTTTCAATTCAATTTTTGAATGAATTGAAAAATTTTATGTTTGATGTTTTTAATATTATGTGATTAAATTAGTTTATTGTCTTGTTGAAGATTATTGAATTTATGGTAGCCTCTAATTAAAATATATCAGACTTTTAAAATAATTTTCATGTGTTAGCATTTTTAATTATTTTTGAAATCAATTTTAATATACAAAAATGTTAATCAATCAGTTATTTTAAACTTAAGATTGTTCAAGAATTATTTTGTACCTAAGCTGAAATTAATATTTAAATTATTGCTAAAAATGTCCTGTTAGAAATATTTTTGAACATATGAAATATTTTATAATCTGACTAATAAAAAGGTGATCAATTACGTCGATGATAACGTAATGATAGTAGAAGTAAGTATAGAGGTTTGTCTTTTATCACCTATATTACCAGTTTCTGTGGTTCCTTGCTGAATCAGCAATTGATTTCTTATTGACTACTTGCCAAGTTAGAGCTGTTTGCCATAACCTTAAGGTCAATTAGTCAGTGTGTAGCTTTGTTTACTTTTTCCATGCGTGGCTTAGTTTATTTTTACTGTCTGTTCTCACTTACCATTTAGATTATATATGCTATATAAACTTTATTAAGTTAATTATATTTTTTCTTCTGCATTGCTAGAATGATATCTAGATTTGAATAAAATGTACTTTTACAGGTTCCTAGTGTTTTGGATGCAGCTTCTGAAGAGGAAACGAGTTTAAAAATGGCTGACGAGAAAGACAAAACTCAGACAACTTCCCCATCTGAGAATGCACAGAATGACAAGCGGGATTCCCAGAAGTACTCTTCACTTAGATCTTCAAATTCAGATAGATCTAATCAGAAATTTACAAAGCATAATGAAGATAGAAGACGAAATGAGGGGTCACGACCTTACCAGGGTAATGATTACAGAAATGATAGATATCAAAGTAATAGAGGTGGCAGTGGATATCGAAGAGATCCAAGGAGTAGGAATAATTATGACAGGAGATATGATGGTTACAACAATGAAAGAAGTGATAGGTATGGTGGCATGAACAGAGATAGATACAGCAATCCTAGAAGAAATAATTGGCATGAAAACCAATTTAAAAGCAATCGATATGAGAGACACGATAAAGTTGATGACAGAAACAGCCAACCATATGAAAAACTTGATAAGTATGAAGATGAAAATAATCGACAATATGAAGAGCATGATAGAAGCAACCAGAAATATGAAAGATATGATAGGTACAATGATAGAAGCAGTCAGAAATATGAGAGACACGATAAGTATGATAGAAATATGAAAAGAAACGAAAGGCATGACAAGAATGATGATAGAAACAGCCAAAGATATGATCATCCTGAAGGTCAAGGAAAGAAGCAGCCCGATTCAGAAGAAGGTGCCTCGTGCAAGGATAATGTAGATGAGGATAAATCTTTCGATGTTGCCGAAAGAAGTGATGATGATAATGTTCAGGATGAACCAACTGCTAAGGTTGGCAACGAAAAACGAAATGATAGATATGGCAGTGATAGAAGAAATCCTAATTACAGTGGAGGTCATCGGAACAATCAATTTAATGATAGAAGAGAAAATAGATACGATAGGAGAAATGTCAGATACGATAATAACAAAAGGTTTGGTAAATTTGATGGTAGGGATGGTCAATATGAGAGAAGAAATGGCAGATTCGATAGTCGAAAATATAATGAGCACAATGGATCTAGAAGAAATGAAAATTTTGGTAGAAATGACAGGGCACATGAAGTGAATCGTAATAAATATTTAAATCCGGAAAATGAGGTGAGTGAGTCGCAATTCAGCAATGAAGTAGAGGCCAAAAATACTAGCATAGTTGAAAAAGAAAGTGAAAATTCAGGTATTGTAGGTGAGGAGAGTATCTGCGTGAGTGATTATCATACAGAACTAAATGTAAGCAATAAAATTTCATCAACAGAGGAAGTATTGGCTGAAGGTGGTGAAAAAGCATCTGTAAGTCAATCCAAATCAAGTTACTCTTCAGACCGCAGACACAATTTTCCCAATAGAAATTCTGGCCCTCGTAAGCAAAGTGATGGCAGAAACTACAGCAGACACTATCAAAGATCTAATTCGAATAGAGATAGGTATTCAAGGCAGCCTAATTATCATCCAGAGAGGAGACAAACCAAACCGCAAAACTTCAGGAGGAATTCTGACAACACGGATGAAGGTGAAAATTCTAATCCTTCGAAATACGATGAAGCAGTTGCTGAAGGTGCTGGCGAACCTGTAGAAAGCAACTTGGAAGAAAGTCAAGAATGCAATAATGAAGAGTCTGGAGACTTTCCTGATAGCCAACATTCCAAAAAGAGCTCTATGAGAACTGATTCTGGAAATGTGAACCATTACAAAAACTATCAAGACGGAAAGCAAGGATATAATAATAGATATCAAAATAATAATAAAAATTACCGCGAAACACGCCCATACAGAAATAATCCTCGCTCTAGGAATAACCAAGGTGATTATACTGACAGGACTTCTAATAGTAGTCAAAGACAGGTTCCCCAAAAATATTCTAATGATAGTAGCCATAATTCTCCACTAACTGAAAATGATTCAGACGTTAAGCCCGAAACAATATCAAAGGAAAGTGTTGTTGAATCTGTTCCAGTTGAATCCAGCAAGTCAACAGTACCAGCTAAGAGTTCTGATTTGGAAAAGTCTGTACCGACCTCTAATTTTCTTCCTCCCATGTCCTCAGTTGCACCTCCCCCAGGCTTCCAGAACCCTACGAGGAAAATAGTTTATGGTTTGGCTGCTGCGAATCCTCCCCCCGGATTCAACCGAAGCTGACAACATCCGTTTTATAAGGACTCTTACGTGTGGTACAAAAGTTGGCTGCGATGTTTCTTTGGACTTATTTATTTTTGATTTGTTACGTAAGAACCAGTTTTTGTCTGAATTTATTAGCTACCTCTGTTTATGAATTTGTTAATTTCAATATTAAACTTTGTAAAATTGTATTATAAACAGTTGAGAAAAATAAATGTTTTTGTTCCTCTCTGAGAAGCTGTTTTTATGTTCCGGTAATTCTTGTTTTTAAATTTTCAACTCCTGACCTATATTTGGGAAAACGTTAAATTTATTTTTTATGGCTTTTAAAAGTAAAGTAATTCTAGATAGGATATGTTAGGTTTGAAGATCACAGAGCTAAGCTACTTTTGGACTATTTTGATTGAGGTTAATTTGTCTTGAGTTATTTTATCAAGCTGACTAAATAAAGAAGATCTAATTGTTAATTTAAATTTAATGTTGCAATAACCACTGATTTTCAACTGTCAACCCTAGACTATATTTAGGTAGGATTAAAATTTTCTTTTAAATATTTCTAGATAGAATATTTCTAGATAGGAAATGAAAGCAGGTTCGGCGAGGTTTTTTATTTCTATTTTTGCAGGTTTTTATTTCTATTTTTTTTTGTTGCACTATTTTGGCTGAGTTTGTTAAGTTACGACTAATTTGTCTTGTCTTTTTTATTTTAAGCTATTTTGTCAGAAATGGCTAAGTGAAAAAGTAATAAGTGATGTAATATCACAGCATATAATTGTAAACTTTAATTTTATGTTATAATAACCCACGACTTTCAACTGTCATTGCCAGACTGTATTTAGGTACGATAAAATTTTTTTTCTATGGTGTTCAAAGGGAAAGTAATTCTACCTTAGAAATAATAGCAAGTTTAAAGGCCACTGAGGTAAGTTATTTTTTGGCATTATTTTAACAGAGGTTATTTGTAAGATCAGGCATGTTTATTTGGGCTATTTTTCAGGTTAGTTATATATATATATATAAAAAAGAAAAATTGTTTGATAATACATCATAATTGTAAATTTAAATTTTATTTATTGTTAATGAACCCAAGGAAATAAATAATGTAAAGCATAAGTCCACGTAATTGAACAGGCAATTGAATAGTTGTCAATATTTATTCTTTTTAATTGACTTTTAATTTCAGTGTTAGGAATTTTTTTTTCAGAAGGGATTAAGTTTCATTGATTCTTTTCCCACCTCTTGTTTGAACTTTGCAGTTAAGCAAATGTTCCATTTATAATGTTTTGATATTCATTATTAAATGCAAACTTTTCTTTTTGCAAAGAAATTTGAAATGTACTGAGTAAAAAATATTTGCAAATGTCAGGGGCCAGGTACTTTTTGTGTTGCGTTGGTATTGTTTTTTCTGTCAGAATGCATTTTATTTGTGTGAAAAATTTATCTTTGTTTTGCTTTACAGTGGACATACAAAAATGTCATCAAAGAGCTTTACCATGACTGAAAGTTACTTATGTTATGACCCCCTGAGGTGGACTGGAACATTTTTTTGTTTCTGTCCCGTTTTGAGTTTGATTTACTCCAAATAAGCACATCAACCATGTAACACCTTATAACGCTAAATATCTTTAAAGGTTTCATTACCGAAAGTTTGCGATATTTTCCAGTCACTGAAATCATTGATAGTCTCTCCAATCAGACAGTAATAGACACAAGACATATAACTCTAAATGTCTACTCTAAAAAATGCAAAGATATCTTATTCCGTTTGAAAACTGTCGTTGAACGGCCGACCCAATTTTTTGGGTTTATGAATACTTATGTTGAACTCCGTAGCCTTGTAATTTTTAACATAATCCAGGAGACAAGGGAATTTCTGGATCAAGTTTTGGGAGCTATTTGCTTTCATGGAGGACTTTTTGATGGAACTGGCCCGCATTTGCTTTAGCATTGTGGAGAGGAAAACTTCCCACGGTTAACCTGAAGGCAAGGGGACTCTAACCTATGATCCGTCTACCACTGAGGATATTTTTCGTCAACACTGGTCAGTGCAAGTCTGATGCCGATTTCGTGTTAACCAGCCATCGCTAGGATTCGATCCTGTTACACCCCACCGGAAGGTGGACGTTCTATCCCCTGAGCAATCACAGCTCGGGCAAAGATATCCTAGCTGTCATTGAACAGCAGACCCAATTTTTTGGGTTTACGACTACTAATGTACGTACCACGTAGCCTTGTAATTTTGAGCCCAATCCAGAAGACAAGGGAACTCTTGGGTCAAGTATTGGGAGAAATTTGTCATCGTGGAGAACTTGTTTAGGGGACTAACCCGCATTTGCGTTACATTGAGAGGAAGACCGCGAGAACCTCCCACGGTTAGCCTGATGGCAAGAGGACTCTAAGCCATGATCCGTCTACCACCGTATTTCACGTCATCACTGACCGGTGCATGCCGAATGCGAAAATCGTATCGACCAGCCATCGCTGGGATTCGGTTACTCAAAATCTAATTCTAACTTTTAACTCAGCCATTCTACTCACTTATATTATAGTAGGTTATCTAAACTACAAAATACGCCCATATGTGCCTAACTTGCTACTATATTTAAATGTTTAAGATTCGGCCATGCAATTTATAACTGTAGAGGAAAGGAAATATGTTTTCTTTGTAGCCAATCTACTTTTAGAAATTGAACTTTTCCAGAAATTGTAATGAGCTTCATTCCACTAATTCTAGACGATGTTCAAAATGGAAGCAGATCATAAAAGTAAAAAAAAAATATTTCTTACACTAATGCAAAAACTAAATATACTCTCAGCCAAAATCAAACTTTTCATATTCTGCATTAGTTTCTAATGCAAAAGCAACAAAATCAATTGGCATTCAGAGAAGCTTCTCTAAAGTCTCTAGTCCGTCTAATTATCCAATTCCATTTCAAAAACATAAATCAAGAATTGGAAAAATCTCTTCATAATGTCCGTTCACACCAAAAGATGATTACTGCTCGAAAGTTTCCTCACTTGAGTTGAAAACAGCTATTAAAAATTTTCACCAGTACCTGATAATATACACAATAGTTTGATTAATCATCTATTTGACTGTCTCTTCCTAACTATCTTAAAACTGTTCAATAGTATTTGGATGGGGGGGGGGGATTTCCTGTAAAAAGGAGAAACCTGGAAAAGACCTTACAAATCCTTTAAACTATAGACTGATAGTTCTCTGTAAACTGTTCGAAAAGATTATCAATGCTAGACTGACACATTTACTTAAAAGCAGAAGCCTCTTATCTCCAAAACAAGTGGATTTATGAAATATCGTTCCACTATAAATATTCTATTGCTTTTAGAAACCGAAAGTGTTGCGGCAAATGTTTATCTTGACATGCTTGAGGTACGGTTAATGACACAAATCGAAACTGATTCTACGGATTACATCTTGCAGTAAGATGGAACACCGTCATGCTGGGGTACTATGGTTCGCACATTTTTAAATCAACATCTTCCAAACCGTAGGATCGGTCGAAGTGGAGATGCCGACGACATCGTCTGCTCTTGGCTCTGAGATCTCCGGACTTGACACCCTTCGATTTCTACCTATGAGGTTATGTGAAAGATAGGGTAAGGTGTATGTGCTTCCCATGCCCAAAATAATTATTTATTTTAAAACCGTCGTTGAGCAGCCGACTAAATTTTTTTGGGTTTGCTGCTCTTGTATTTTTGAACTCCATCCAGAAGACAAGGGAACTCCTGGATCAATTATTGAGAGAAATTTGCTTTAATGTAGGACATTTTGATGGAACTTACCCTCATCTGCGTTACATGGAGGGGAAAACCTCCATATGTTAGCTGGATGGCAAGGGGACTCTAACCTATGATCCGTCTACCACTGAGAATATTTTACGTCAGCACTGTGGACAGTACAAGTCGAATGTGGAATTCGCATCGACCAGCCATTGCTGGGATTCGAACCCAGTTCACCTGATCGGAAGTGATCTTTATTATTTAATAATTACATTTTTCATTGGTCTGAACATTAGAAATTATTCATGTGGTCTTATTTTTCATAGTATGGTCTCTAATGAATTAAAAAAAATTTTAAAAATTGCAAGACAGTTTCTTTTTCACAAATTTATTGATAAAAATATTTTTTTTTTATTAAACAAGTCTAAAATAATAGTTGTATAACATAACAGGTTTGGGATATAGTTGCACTTTACAATATTCATTAAATGTTTTACTCTTACTATAAGTAATACAAAAAAAATCTCTCATACATTTTTAACAAGCAGTAATTTTTGTTATAGGAAGAAAAAAAAATTAAAGTCATAGCCAAGTTCAGTTAAAACGCTGCAGAATTTTCTTTTTATAGATGCAGTTTAAATTTGGAAATTTAATGCTTAGTAATTTCCGTTCTGAGACATTCTTTCTGAATGAGTTATTTTTGTAGTGGTTATAACAAATACGTTTCTGACACATATATAAAAAAAGAAAGAAAAACGTTTTGTCAGTATTTTTAAAATCGTATTCTTAGGGCGCTTTTTCATTACACGACACGATACCGACAAAATCGGACGACAAATGTGTGAACGACAATGTCGTTGCCGGATCGTTCAAGCAATTGTTTTTTCACTTGTCCGATATCGTTAGTCCGAGAAGTAGAAATTCTTGTTCAATCAATGTATTGAGTTTGAGTGTGTAGAGGCATAAAATTTCAATAATTTATTTGAACGTGTTTTGAAAAATTATAAGTTTTAGTTTTGAATTCGTTTTGGCAACGGAGTTAGATATATAATAAATGTTGTTGTGTTCTAAAATGCTTAAGAAATAAAATATGTTATTTTTTCTATAAAATTATTTGTAGTATAGTAAATTGGCATTCATTTAATTCAGTTGGCACAAAGACCCAACAAGTGAGCAGTTGCTTGTGTTCTGCTGTGATTTTTTTCGGCAAACTTTAAATATGCCGGATGATAATCGTCGTCTCAAACTTCTTACTTTATTTTAGAAGAAAAAAGCTAGCAGTGCAGAAACGTTTTTGGGTGCACGAAATGGTACTTACGTATTAACGCCAC